TGCTAATTTGTATGTGAGGTAGAAGAGGATACTACTTACCATCAAACCTATGTGACTTGGTGGGAGGGGGGTTATGTGGGGGACAACCACAGGGCAGCTCTGCTAGTACGGTCATCACTGGCCGAATCTGATGTCCTGACTGGTCGCTGGTCACTAGGTATTCCAACACTGGCTTCAGCACTCTGTCAAACAAAAAGCAGTTCAAATCATTTCTGTTTCGTCATATTTTTTTTTATGTAAGGTGCAACTACCATATCTGAAAAAAATCACTACGACAAAAATGTTTTTAAAATTAAATAAAACATACACATGCATACTAACCTGAGTACGAAGGGTTCCATCAGGTCAAATATCGTGTACATCCAAACAGGAATCTACAAGTAAACAAAACATCACCTTATTATAGTAATGGACATTTTATATATATTACCCACATACTTATTTCAATAAAAAACATAATCCCTCCAATGACATGCTCTCATATAATTTAATTCACAAAAAGGAAGGAAAAACAATTGCTAATTGTTCTACTTTTTAATTGTAACTGACTAGATATTCATAAATAATTTGTATACACGAATGCCTGTCGTTGAAAGTATTAAACTATTTCAGAAACAGGAAATATTCACCTGCTGCAGTATTTGCCCAATGAAATATTTTTTCAGTAAAACATTCATTCAGTGAAATATTGATGTTTCACACATAAAATTCACACTTGCCCAGTGTTAAATTTGTCCTGCTCTGTGGAAATTCTATATATCATAAAGTTTCTTTTAACACAGATGTGGTTTTTCAATAATTAGCAATCTTGTGGCTCTGCTTACATTAATAATTGACTAGTGTCTACATTTATTTTCCATGGACAGAAAGGGGAATGATTTACTGGGTTTCTATGGTTCCTCGATAGTATGTACATCAAATATCAAAGTTTCACTTTCTACACAAACAATGTACGAATTAAACGTGTCGCAACATTTCAAGACCGACTGGTCCCTTTGTCAAGCTATGACTGAATCTGTCTCAGTCATAGCTTCACAAAGGGACCAGTCGGTCTTAAAACGCTGCGACACGTTTGATACGTACATTGTTTGTGAAGAAAGTAAAACTTTGACATTACAAATTTCCAAACTGTTGAATCTCATTGAAGATACATACATCAAAGTCCCGTCCCGGCACATGCTTCGTCTCCAAATACACCCAATGTTCACACCTGTGATTACGTACGGGAATAAAAATATATAATGTCATGTAGGTGAAACTCAACACCAAAACAAGCCTGCTCTTGGAACCTGTGTCCCCTTTACTGCCAGGTAAATTATGATACAGATTCATCGGATTAAATGAAGCTGGAATTGCATTGGTCTATACCTTCTAGGCGATCTGATTCCAAACATTGAGCTATCCAATTGAAAATCAAGTTCTAGTTCTATTCAACCAAAGGTACCAAAATCTTATTGACCAATACCTTAATATTTCAGATATAGTGATCTCTACAATTAGTCTAGAATATCAGATTTAACTGATTAATCCAATAAAAGCAAATAAAAGCAGATTTTTTACAAAACAAGTGTGAAGAGATATCACAGTCCAAATTAAAAAGATTTCTGGGTTTTTGTGATACGTACCTGTCAATCACAGGGACTATTGCCTTGGCAACAGCGTCAGGGAAATGTTGAGAGCACTTGGACAGAACGCTAACAATGGAATGAAAAAGTTGCTTCACATCAGGGTCGGAGGTCAAAGCAGTGATATTAGAGGTCACTTCCTTTCTAGGTGAATTGTGGGAATTGCGATACGGATTGAGAACACTCTGGGTCAGAAAGAGAATCGGCAGTGTGAAGTTCTTCATCACCAACGACTGTAATGAGATTAAAAAATGCAAAATGGTTTCAAATTTCTATTTCAACATGTATTTAGAATTTCAGAAAAATAGCGTGACACAAAAATATTTGCTCTAGCTAGTTATAACAATAGTGTAAAATGTATCCACATCAAATTCAAATAAGTGGATTGTTCAATCTACAAACACAGCGCGGATATATGGATGTGTACATCTGCCACAATAAAGGAGTAGTTCCGCCCCATCAGACGTACACATCGACATGTGTGATACTGTACTGTGTTTATTACATACCTATAAATATTACTTATATTACATTTTCAAGTATGTTACTGTAGTATTCATGGTTATCCTGTATTAGTGTTCATTTTGCTTATCTAAAATTTGAACCAAACAATGATGGCAAACAAACAGACACTGAACATTTTGGCGAACACCTTTATCTCGATTTGTTTCTGAGTTAAAAATGACCTTGTCAATCATAGCCCAGTCTTTCTCTGGCTGACTCAACAGGAGTTTACACGAGGTATACAGAGCTGTATTTTATATATCTGAGTTTAACATTACCTTGATAATCATGGCCCAGTCTATCTCTTGCTGACTCAACAGGAGTTTACACTAGATATACAGAGCTGTATTTTATATATCTGAGTTTAACATTACCTTGATAATCATGGCCCAGTCTATCTCTGGCTGACTCAACAGGAGTTTACACTAGATATACAAAACTGTATTTTATATATCTGAATTAAACATTACCTTGACAATCATGGCCCAGTCTATCTCTGGCTGACTCAGCAGGAGTTTACATTGGATGTACAGGGCTGTGGTCGTCTGCATGTCATCGTAGCTGTACACACAAGAACAAACATCATGATAGTGTTTCTTTTATTTTAAAACCTTGATAAAATGCCACTTGTTTACTACTAAAAACCTCTGCATAACGCCCACCGGTTTAAGTTTATACACTCCCCATATTTTCATTCATTTATTTACAATCTTGCTTACTGCAAACATTTATCCAAAATCACTTTTTTTTTTTTCAAAAATAATTTCTTAATACATCTCCCTTAATATAATGGCAAACCCCTCCACAACTTAATATTCTCCCTAATGTGACTATTTCAAAATTGACAATGTAATTGCGTTTTTTATTATTATCCAGAGTTTTGTATTCCAGAAACATCATTACAGAGGATGAATTCACACTTACTGCTTGTGACCCGCCTGAAATATCGTGGGCTGTGTCCATGACAACCAGTCAGTGTTCGAGCCTGGGACATCCTCTACTGGTGAGACAATCTCTGATGCGTGTTTGTCAGAGCGCTCATAGAACCCTCTCTTGAAAACTCTACAATATTGTACAAATTTACAAACACATTTACAATGACTACTAAACAAAGTTACATTGCCAGCCATTCGGCCAATGGACCACCAAGAATGTGTCTACAAAATTACATGGTAAGACTATATCGGCAGAATCCTTAAGTAATACTGAAGTATTTGTTTATTTTAAACTGGAATTCTTGTTTGTTGTAGATACAACCCAGAGCGCTGGGACTCTCTTCCTGAAATGAGTATGACTGCAGAGAGTGCATGATCCTCTCACAAATATGTCAATAGATCGATGTGCCAAAAATGTATTCTCCAAGTCTGTGTTATCTTTTGTTTATTATTACTGGAACTACTGTAAAATCATCACACCTTTAAGGTCTTAAAACAATATATTAGTGCAACAGCTATGAACGCTTATTAAGTTTAACTCATTCACCCCTGAAATTTCATAATGAACTATTCCAGCCTTTGAATTGAAAGAGTTCAAATGTGTCTTCAGGGGTGAATGAGTTAAGACTCAAGTAAGTAGTAAGATCTAACCTCAAGTGGTAAAATAACAAAAAGCCTGTTATCGACTTGTGTCCTTTGTACAGGAGATGTGATGACTACCATAACTGGTCACTTACTTATATAGGTTGTCCAAGGGAGCTGTGATGACCGCTAAACTGCCCAGCAGAGTGGAGCAAAGGTTCTGTATGAGGTAGTGAGGCAGCTGGGAGTGACCGACGTCCAGGTACATAGACACAGAACTACAGGCAGGCAACAACAGTTCCCCCATACACAGCAGTATAGACAACACGTCAGTTCTGTGTAAACAAAAACATCAAAACTTCTCTCATAGCGTCACGACAGTTCAAATATTTCATTTACTGATTCTCATATTTTATCTCATCTGATTAATGATCCACACTTCACTTAAATGGCTATAAAAGAGGGGAGGGGGAACTTATCTGTGAATACCAAACCCATTCCCGGGTCATTTACCAAATTGGGGAGGGGTCTTTTTTACCAGAAGGTGCTTATTTGTGGTCAAATATGGTCAATAGATTTGAAAAAATGAAGATTAATGTTTGTCAAGTTCAAGAAAATCCTCGTAAACTGATATTGGAATAACGTATATCCATATGTTCACAATTTATCAATACTCCTGTAAATTTTGTGCTGAGCAGCATGTTTTTATAAGAAAAAGAGGATCTTACATGAATTTCCTTTGCACAAACATTTTATGAAACAAGCTTCAGCAGGTTTTATAAAAGGCATGAAATAAGGAACGAGTTTGAGGTTCTTTTTATCGCTTATTCAACCAAAATACGTAATTACACCTTTACCTACCTGTACTGGTCCGTTCGTCTGTAGGAGGGCTTGGCGTGAGCATATCTCTTGGCAAGGATGTGTACAGATTCGTGTAAGACCTTGCTGTAGATTCGCTGGCCCAGTCGTGGGGGACACATTGACCATGCGTCGTAATGCAGGCCTCGCATGTGATAGTTCCACATCTGGATCGTGAAGGAACATCGCTCTCCCTGTACAAATAAAGCAGACTTTGTATTGTCTATGTAACCAAAACACTAAGAACATGATATTAACAGAAATTAAAAGGATCCCTCTTTAATAGAATGAGTTTGAAAGAAACTTTTTCTACATTTTATTGCCTAGCAATGTAATGACGAGTCCAGAAATCATATAATTTCCATATAATTATGGACTTGGATAATTGAAAAGAAACAAGACAACCTGAGACAAAATATTTTGAATATGCAAAGTATGAAGAAATACAGCGACACTTGTCTAATCACATCATTGAAGAATCTGGAAACCTATTTAATCTGACCCCTCAGTATTCTGACAACTTGTTTAATATGACCCCTGAGTGTTCTGAAATCCTGTCAAGTCCAACATCATGCTGAAATTTCTTTTTTTATTACAGCTACCAAATAAGACCTGGGTTATCTGGCATCCTGTGTAATCTTACCAATATATTGTGCCCAATAGAGTGTCAGATTAGACGGGTTAATCAGCTCTCATGACCCTTTGGGCCAGGTAAGCTAAAGAGGAACCTACAGCTAATACACAGCGTTGTTTATCTTCCTACCTACCTTAGTGATAGACTTAGTGTTGTTTATTGTCCTACCTACCTTAGTGATAGACTTAGTGTGTTTATCGTCCTACCTACCTTAGTGATAGACTTAGTGATATTTATTTTCCTACCAACCTTAGTGATAGACTTAGTGATATTTATCGTCCTACCTACTTTAGTGATAGACTTAGTGTTGTTTATTTTCCTACCTAACTTCGTGATAGACTTAGTGTGTTTATCGTCCTACCTACCTTAGTGATAGACTTAGTGTTGTTTATCGTCCTACCTACCTTAGTCATAGACTAAGTGTTGTTTATCGTCCTACCTACCTTAGTGATAGACTTAGTGATATTTATCGTCCTACCTACCTTAGTGATAGACTTAGTGATATTTATCGTCCTACCTACTTTAGTGATAGACTTAGTGTGTTTATTTTCCTACCTACCTTAGTGATAGACCTAGTGTTATTTATCGTCCTACCTACTTTAGGGTTATCTGGCATCCTGTGTAATCTTACCAATATATTGTGCCCAATAGAGTGTCAGATTAGACAAGTTAATCTGACCAATATATTTTGTCCTATAGGGTGTTGGATCAGACTAATTTCTCTGTAATAGGACATTATTCTGTGTTTTCACTGTTATGAAATATTTTTCATTTAAAAACGATCTCTTGATAATAACATCATGTCACACATTTTTTTCAAGGTTAAATATTCAGGAAGAGGATGGGGAAAACTGATTGCTTATTGGCAAATATTAACCTCAAAGAACTCCTTGGTGTCGGCCCAGTTGTTACTCTCGGTGTCGTGTAGGATACTGGTGGCCATGAAGTTATTGTGGACCTCTGTGGTGAGTTTAGCCAGGGCCTCCACCAACTCCTCGTATTGTTTGTACAGCACGGTGAACACTTTCTTACTGTCAACATAAAACACCTTCGTTAAGTAAAAAGTTACATGTTTCCATGACGTCAACAATCTATATAGGAGTTTTCGATATTGGCATATTATTGTGTGACAGTGAACTATGTATGCTTACAGATTTATCAAATGTACACAAATCCATCCTGTCAAGGACAGTTTTTGAAGAGTAAACATTAATTACCAAAGGCTTTTACAATTAAATAAAATCAGAAATATAAATGAAGTTATAAGGACTTCCACTTTTGTCTGGTTTATAAGGTAATTACAACAGAGGAAAACCAGACAATCTGTTCTACATTAACTGTAATTATTTGTACATGCTCCACTCTTATAAGAGAAACATAATCCTTGAATATTACAGAGAATGTAGTGTTGTTATTATTATATTTTTGTAAAGAGAATCATTTTTACATTCCTTTGCAAGAGGACTCCTACGTAAATTCAAATCTTGAGATTTACAAATACGAATTTTATGAATTTAAGCTTGCACAAATATTAATTCCGTAGATAAAATTACTGTACCAATATTGAAATAGCATCCTGTCAACCTGAATCATGTAATCAGGCGTTTGCGAATAATATCTTACAATATAATATGCAAAATAACATTCAAATAAGGTGAATTACAGTATATTGTAAACATACCTGCTGTCCTCGGGACTAAGTACGGACTCGTAGTGATACAGGTGGTTCCTGATGTAGGCAGCACTGGACAGTATAGCGTATAAACTTTTCATCGGAGCATTCCGCGGGACATCTCCACTCAGCTGCAAATAGGCAATCATTCTCAGTTAAAATTCTAGAAGAAATCACAAACATCGGAATGTTATGAGACATCAGCAGTGTCTATCTCTCTTAAAAAATCTTTCATTATTTAACTCTCACCTGCTTGAAAAACTCAAGATAGCAGCAGCAGCATCATCTCTGCAGATTGTTAAGGTATGAAACACATTATGATGCTAATGAATAGTTTTAAATAGGTTTCTACCTGTAATAATAATAATAATAATGGTTTGAGGTTCTTATATACCGCTTTATCACAACCTAGTGTCTAGGTCGTCTCAAAGCGGTTCACAAATTATTACCCGTGGTTATTGGGCCTTTGTAACCAGCCAATATCTTTCTCAACTCCCTGGGGAGCATACAGCCGGTGCTGCTATTTAAGCGCTCACAGCTAGCATTCAACATTTCCAGCACTGCCAAACCACATACTCATTTACAGCTGTGTAGACTAGAACAAGAGGAGTAAATATCTTGTTCAATGATACAACACAGTGCCGTGACGTGACTCAAACCCGCAACCCTTCGGTAACGAGCCCAGCGTCCTACCACTAGAATACTGTGCCTCCTAAACAGGTACAGGTATCGTTACATGTGAATAACAAACCTTATAAAACTTAGTTTGCAATATGCATCATCTGTTATATGATCCATGAAACAGTTTTGACAATGGACAGAAATGTGACTTCACCATATGCAGAAATTCACAACTGTGTTCATAGTTAAAATATTTAGTGTATTTTGGTCACTTGGTCAGAACGCCACACAGATGTAGTTTAGTATGAAGGCATGAATCGTTGAAGGAATCGTTTTTTATGTCTTTGTCCTTTTCATTCAATGTGGCACACCATTAGGAGTTGCACGTGATAGTTATCATACCGTGGTTAGGTGGACATGGAAATTAGAGAAAACAAACTTGCCAAGCTTTGGCCATTTCCATTCAAAGTGGTGTACTTTTGTGAACTGGAATGGCAGTTATCATACTTTTTCGAACTAGCATGGCAGGTATCATCCCTTTGTCAGGTGGACATGACAGTTATTATCCCTTTGTGAGGTGGACTGGACAGTTAGTATACCTTTGTGAGGTGGACGTGGAAGTTCTGTAAACACAGACTCGCTGAGTCAACGAAGGCTGTCCTAACACAGTGAAGCACACTGTCTGATCCTGCCTTGGCGAAGGGCAACAGGAAATCCAGCTCATTCATAAAGTCCAACACTGACTACAAAATTTGAAGACCATTTTTAATGCAGTAAAATATATATATAGGCAAACCATAACAAAAGTTTTCTACATTAGAAAAAATTCTAATATTATTAAACCAGGATGCTCGAAAATGAATTTGGTTTATATCCCTCCCTTGGTGCAGAAGGAGAAGGTTTTCGAAGATTCACCTCTATTTCCCCAGTTGGGCCCCACCCCTCTGCCCCCACAAGCACACTCTCCGTTTATACAAAACTAAAAACGCTTTGGTCAGGGATGCTGTTGAACAAATTTTGTTTGAATTCCTACATTGGTACAGAAGGAAAAGGCTTTTGAAGATTCACCTCTATTTCCCAAATTAGGCTCCACCCTTCTTCCTCACAGGGGGCCACACCCTTTATTTACAAAAAAATAAATTGAAATACATTAGCAAGACCAAAATTGGGTCAAAATCCCTTAGCTGTTCAGGACAAGTAGCATTTTTAAGGAAAAAGTTGTTTATCTTCCTACCTACCTTAGTGATAGACTTAGTGTTGTTTATCGTTCTACCTACCTTAGTGATAGACTTAGGGTAGTCCAGCTTCCCTCCCCATATGTCTTCTCTGACTGTCTCCGTCTGGAGGACTTGAAGATCTATCCAGTCCTTTAGTTCCTTGTCTAAAGTGGTCTTAAGGAGGTTACGTATCTGTTTGTCGACACATTGTGATAATTCCTGGGCGATCTTTTTAAACATGAGCTTCCATTCCCATCTCAATCTCTCCTCTGCCCTGGCCCTCTCCACAACTGTAGGCAAAAACGCACATTCTCTTTTGACACATTCCAAAGTTGTAACAAATAGATAAACCATCTAATTACTTAGCATCCAAATCCAGCTTCATAGTACATTTACACAAAGAAGGGCAAAAAATAACACTTCACAGATATGGATTCTACTTGTAGAGGATTGAATATCTCACTAGGCAGAAGTTTCCCTGTATTGGTTAGTTTATAATAGACCATGAAAGATACAGAATGTATCAAAAAAAATTAAAAAAATATCTGTCTCCTGTATTATTACTCTTGCATTTACCAAGCATGTTCAAACAGAGTGTTATTATTTTAGAGCTGAGATTTAAATATTTCAAGGAGACAGATTAACATAAGTACTTTTTACTTGTTTTCGAATCCTATATGTATATTTATGTTTGTATTACTGGAATATTATACCGATAATAAAATAAAGTTTAAACTAAATATTTCTGAATTTTGGAGCAAGCATGTTGTCGCAAGAGCAAAAAGACAGTATTAAATACCTTTAGGAGCAGGCATGTTGTCTGTGAGAGCCGACAACGAAGAGCCGAAGGAGGAGAAGCTGTCGGAGAAGGAGACATCATCATGGCCGCTGAAGCTGGCAGGGCGACGGACTGGCTCAGGACTGGAGCTCGTCTTCAGTACACCTAAAACAGGTATACAGTACATCATATGTTAATTTATAGGATCCCAATTTGATACCTTCTTACAAGTATTTGAAAGTTTTCAACAGAATTACAAGTGGGACATCACCGAGTAATTCCCATTTACATGAATTAAGTTTTGATGTTGTCTAATGTTACCTAATTAAGCTTACTGTATAACTGAAGATGTTCACTTCTCTACTGAGGGGCAGTATTGAATGGTAAGAGATCAAATAAGATATGGCAAGTATGGTAAAGGAATAACTTATTTAAAATCATCAGGTGAAGACGCATCCTTGATACACTAGGGGTTACACTCATATACGCTCTCTGCACCCCTGGAATATGTCAAGACAAAATCTAACGCTCAGTGTGCGCCACCTTGTGGATGAGACAAAGAAGACTAGTGTGGTCCTTTGATGTATCATAAGATCGAGATTGACTGGCTTTAATGGTGGGTGTCGCTCCTTTGTACTCTTCAAAGGAAAGGTATCAGCCTTATGATTGGTCAGTTGTTTTTTTACCTAAGACTAATCAAATAGCTAGCTGCATGCCTTCAATTTTGCTATGAAATATGCCAGGGGTGCAGAGAGAGTACCTTCTGCAGTATCGGGGATGGTGAAGGCACTGATAGTGCTAATAAAATTATGGAAATAATACTTATACATCATAATATTTGGTATTTTAAGTCCTTCAAAAATCTCCAATGACTATCAAGAGAAGGCCTACAGAGGTAATTAACAACAGTAAATAAACAGTGTTTAAAGCTTACCTCTCAGACTACCTTTCCTCTTGACCTTTTTGCTGGAGATTCCCGCGTTGTCCCACGCTGCACACTTCAGCAGACTCTCCACATGTTCCTCAATGTGAAGAACGGCTGTGACCACATTCAGTATTGACTCTATGTAATCACGTGGCAGACTAAATGTCGAGACCTCCTCCTCCGATTTGTTTGTAGATACTACAGATTCCAGACTCTGGGCTTTCTCCTTTTTTCCGAGTTTAGAATTTCCCTTTCCCAAATGACTGTGGTCACTAGAAGACTGAGCGGGCTGTTTGCGAATGATTTCTTCAATTTCTTCCCAAATATCCTCAACAAGTGCAGACATTTCATCAGAAAACTTCTCCAGATACATGTCATGCATAGCCCTTGCAATGTTAAATGACTTTTTGAACACACCAGAATTGAAAATAACGAAATCTTCGTCGATCATTTTTAAAATAATGTCAGCCAGTTCTCGACAATTTTTCGTGACTGCCACAGAGTTGTATGCCTCAGAGTCTGCGTCGGGGAGCAGCGTATGGAAGCAATGGTCCAGCTGCTGGGATCTTAGTGTCTGGTACTTGATGAGCACATCCTCTGAAGGGTACAGCGTGGACAAACTCTGTATGTATTCCATGCGTTTATTTTCGTACAAATCTAACACTTGTTTTTGGCTGTCGATTGGTAACTTGGTAAGACGGTCTGTGAAATATCTGCGTAAGTGTAAGGCTATCCTGTCCCACTGCTGACTGATGTTCTCCTCACAGTTGTCTGTGGCAGTGTTAAGGGAAGCCATGGACGCCATGGGGTCGGTCCCACGAGGCCTGCTGGTGTGAGGGAGAGACAGACCCTCGGAGGAAGACAAGGACAGTAACTCCTGCAGTACCGCTTCTTCACTGCCAGGATGTTGCTCCAAAGTTCCACTCTGTTGCAATGTTAAATTTCAATTAATTCAATTTAGTAATTAAACATCCTTAACAAAATTAACCAAAACTAGACGTAATCACAATTACAGCAAATGATTTGCTTTTAATGATAACTTGTAATTATTTTATTTTTAACATATTCAGTTATTTCAACATAAAATTGAGAAACAGTCAAATAATGTGTGGATAACTAACACTTAATAATATGATTGAGAATTTGAAACTATACATATATTGTTCAAGCTTCAGCATAATGATTTAGTTAAAAATATTTTGCATGGTGTAAGTTATAATTATAGACCCTAGATGGGCAACAATAAGCTCAGATGGAGATTTTTTAGGTTTATTTGAGGATGATAACTAAAGTGTTATTATGTAGCCGTACAATGTGACTAAGGATTGTATGAACATCCTCTGGTTCTGGATCGTAGCAGGAATCCTTCTCCAGCATGTTGGCAGAGATCATGTTCGCAATGGCATCTCTTGGATCGTCCCATTCCCGGTTGCCTGGTAGTTTGTTTACAGTTTTCAGAATATCTTGTACACACAAGTCTAGACTGCAACAGAAAGTAAATAAATACATTTATGAAAACAAATAATTTCATTTTTGAAGATATAGGAAAATTAGAGTGCAGCTAGGTGTCCATAACAAAATTCTTTATTAATATAATCAAAATACCGGATACAATTATTAATATCTTTTATTAGTCAAATGCAGACACATGCCCCCCCCTTCCCCCCCACCCTCATCTATTCCTGGATAGCCACTTCTTTTTTAAGGTTGAATTTGGGGCCTTATAAATGCCTTTACTCCTACAGAATTTCTGCTGTATTTTCCCAAAATTAAAGGAAAAAACACTTTATTTCCCAAAATTATCCAGGGCCCGTATTCATGAAACCATTCACTGTTTGTCCATCCTATCACTATGGTGAATCAATAATTTCTGTAGTCTCTCACTTTCTATAGACTCTCACTTTCTGTAGTCTTTCATTTTCTATAGTCTCTCACTTACTGTAGACTCTCACTTTCTGTAGTCTCTCACTTATTGTAGACTCTCACTTTCTGTAGACTCTCACTTTCTGTAGACTCTTACTTTCTATAGACTCTCACATTCTGTAGACTCTTACTTTCTGTAGGCTCTCACTTTCTGTAGACTCTTACAATTTGTAGACTCTTACTTTCTGCAGACTCTCTCTTTCTGTAGACTATCACTTTCTGTAAACTCTCACTTTCTATAGACTCTCATTTTCTGTACATTTTTACTTACTGTAGACTCACACTTTGGAGACTTTTACTTTCTGTAGACTCTCAGTTTCTGTAGACTTTTACTTTCTGTAGACTCTCATTTTGTGTAGACTCTCTTTTCTATAGACTTTACTTTCTGTAGACTCTCACTTTCTGTAGTCTCTCACTTTCTGTAGACTCTCACTTTCTACATAGTATCTCACTTTCTGTAGACTCCTACTTTCTGTAGACTCTCACTTTCTGTAGACTCTCACTTTCTACATAGTCTCTCACTTTCTGTAGACTCTCACTTTCTACATAGTCTCTCACTTTCTGTAGAAACTTACTTTCTGTAGTCTCTCACTTTCTGTATCTCTCACTTTCTGTAGACTCTCACTTTCTGTAGTCTCTCACTTTCTGTATCTCTCACTTTCTGTAGACTCTCATTTTCTACAGACTCTCACTTTCTGTAGACTCTTACAATTTGTAGACTCTTACTTTCTGTAGACTCTCATTTTCTGTAGACTCTTTTTCTATAGACTTTACTTTCTGTAGTCTCTCACTTTCTATAGGCTCTCACTTTCTGTAGACTCTCACTTTCTGTAGTCTCTCACATTCTGTAGTCTCTCACTTTCTATAGTCTCTCACTTTCTATAGACTCTCACTTTTTGTAGTCTCTCACTTTCTGTAGACTCTCATTTTCTAAAGACTCTCACTTTCTGTAGACTCTCATTTTCTACAGACTCTCACTTTCTGTAGACTCTCACTTTCTGTAGACTCTCACTTTCTGTAGACTCCTACTTTCTATAGAGTCTTACTTTCTAGTGTTTTCCTCTAACTTTGTGTCCAGGTCCCCAATGTATGTGTCCAGAGCAGGAATACTGGGGACGCCCTTCTCCAACAGGGACCGGACTGGGGGCACAAGGTCCATCTTGCCCTGATTTCTTGGTCGCTTCTTACTCATGGCATTCTGTTATACCTGCACAAGTATACAGCAAAGTATCAACAAAGTCATATGACTATTACATTGATTATAAATATCATTAATGCTTTCTGTGATATTTAATGTATAATTCATGTGGTATTTTAGCAATCAGATTATATATGTATCAAAGTCTTTTTATTTATATAAAACTAACTCCTTTTCCTATTCTAGTGGACACTGTTGTAGTTTTGCCTTTACCTAAACCAGGATTTGAATCCTCAACACAGATTATTTCTTACTTAGTATTCACTTAGTTTAAATCATAACTGTTGGTGACAAGAAACACTTCGAAAATCAGTCTTGGTATTTACAATGCAAACATGTTTATTTAAAATCATGATACAGTATCATGTTTTGGTTTGAAATACCCATTGAACAATATGAGGCAATGTTCAGGTTTCAATTAATCCATGACTATTTGGGTCAGATAAAACAACCAGTCCTGTTAAATCTTTAGCCATGTAAGACTTGTTTTAAGGTGATGGCATGTATAGTCACTAATTTGATTATGTACTGAAATGCAGCTGAAATTGTAGCTGTAATCAGCACTACTGTCTCCTAATCCTTTTTACCGGTATTTGCTGTAATTAGTGCCTCTCTCCATAAATGCCAATACCCATTTTTCAACACCTTTTGAAAGCTTAAGTAACCCATCTTCCTCGCCCTTAACCCTGTCCCACCCTGACTGACCACAAAATCTGAATACAATGAAATGTTAATATACAATAATAACCCTCGTAGCATTTACCATCACAATTACTGCCAATATATTTCAAGGTCCCTTTTTTCTCCTTTTCTTAAGAATTCATTTTTAATTTTCCTAAACTTATTGCCAAACCAAAGTTTCTCTTCACAAAAGGTGGCAGTATAACGAAATATTTTATCATATTTAAACTGAATGAAGTCAGATAGCAAAAGCTATGACTTAATTACCCCTGAAATCAGTAGAGGAAGTAGGTATGATAGCAAGGCAATATATACACACTACAACTCTTGAACTGCATACCATCTACTGACATAACATGTCTGTTATCTTTATAAGCACCCCGGGGGGCCCACTCCCACATCAAACCCTTCTCACTTTTCAAGTGCTCTGGCCATGGGTGCAGTGGATACAGAAGATAGTGTAGACCCATTTGATTTACATACATTATCATGTGGCTACCCATGGCCAGAATTGTAACATTATTTAACCTTGCCCCCTCCACCCAAAGAGAGATTGGTTCATGTACTGGGGCTGTAATTAGGGCGACTTCTGTTGACCAAGTAGTTAAGTTGTTTGTATGAGTGGTTTTACATCCACTTCACTACAGAGTGGTTTGGTTATCCAGCAGACTTTTGTTAATTAGTTTGAGCATTTATTTAAGAGTTCTGAGGTTTCAAATTGAACCCCAGTCTGTTGCCATTGCTTTACATCCTATTTCAGTTATGTCTGAGCAGCCCTTTGGGGAAGCATTTGACTTTGCATAAGGATACCAGGGTTTAATATATATATATGTGTGTTAAGCGATTATATTTAAGATTAAGAAAGGAGGGAAATATATAATGGCACTGGTAGCTCATTTAGTTCCACTGACTGCTAGAATTCGGCGGTCCGGTGTTCGAACCCTGGTCTGTGACCTTAGTCAAGTTTCACTGGTTGGGCACAATGGCTCATATGGGTAATAATCCTGCATTTGGGTAACAGTTACCAATTTGAGTAACAATTTTATTACTGAAATGGGGAATAAAGTGAAACGAAACACACAAAGTTCTTTTAAAAACTTGGAGCAAAAAAGTGTGTTATTATTTCAACTGAATCCAATAAATAACACAGCAAAGTACATTTATACACAAAAAGTTATTAATTCTGGTGTCTGAATTTTTGGGAAATGACAAACCATATCATTGACTTTGTTCTCATTGACTTCAGTGTATAGTCAATGGGATCATCCAGTGCAAATGTGACAGGTAATCATGATTTTTTCTGTATGCTATTTATAGCTACTCTACAACACACTATTAGCAATGGAGGTTATACAATTTGTCATTTTCACAAAAATTTAGAAAATTAAATTCACATATTTTTGCGCATAATTACATCTCATTGTAACTTTTATTGTGTTACACCGGGGATCAAACCCTCGATCTCCAGGTTCCTAGTCGGACGCTCTACCACCGAGCTAAAGGGAAATTCCCTCTAGCTGGAAGCTAGTCCAAATTATTCTGACGTTTTATCAACTTTTTTTTATATCTGTCTGTCGTTGATTAACGTCAGAACTCCGGCCCTCTATAATATGCAGGAAATAAGCGACCTGCACCTGGGTCGCTCTTCAAACTGATATTTTAGAAACAAATCGTCACTTTCACACACATGTCGCACATGGATCGAAAGATCTATTCTTTATGCACAAGATGAACATAAATTACATGCCTCAAACAACCAATACAATCACTAAAAACATATTTTTTCAAACTTACTCTGTTTTACTCTAGTTTTTTGATA